TGTTCTTAGCCTAAATACTTCGCCATCTTGGACCTATGTTTTTGGTTTTATTGATTTGTAAACCGCCCAGAGTAGAACTCTGGTCTAGATGGGTGGGATAGAAATCAATCAATCAATCAATCAAATAAATAAATAAATAAATTCCTTCTCCCCAAGAGAACAAAATTATATCTAGGTATAATGGTCAAAGGTAAGAATTTTAAAATCATCAATAGAGAAAAAATCAGATAAAGCCTGCTGTTCTTAACTGAATAGTAAGGAAAACTGAATAAAAATTCAGCTTCTGCACACAATATTGCTGATTTCTTCTCAAAACCCAGTAGAACATGACTACAAAATGCATACCACAAATACAATACATAGAGAGATAGATATTACTCATATTTCATAAAACAGAAATGGCCATTAGAAATGTACAATGCATGGCAAGTAAATCATTAGAGGCGCTCAGATTTTGATTGTACAGCTACAGCAGTACTGTGCTGTACATAAGTTTTGGATTAAATTACGTGAGTTTCTTCTGAATTATCTTTACTGCTTCTGAACCTGATCTATGTCACTTTGAAATGTCTGTGTAGCATTATTCTACATTTATTTAAAAGGCACATCTTCAAGAAAACCCATAACTGTAAACTTCCCTTTACACAACAAAACCCTCAAAATTCAAATGAATACAAAATGTCAAGCAATTCCACTGATAGTGCTCATCCTACATTAAAAAGAAAAGAATGAAATAAAGAGCCTCCTATCATTTTAAGGCTCCTAAGAAGATATTAACAGGGAGCAGTAATTCCAAAATGCCGGTTCCAAACTATGTCATACTTTACACAACAATGCAACAAAACTCCTGGTGCATGACTCCAATAACCTTTCCTTTCTTATTTCCAATAGCGTTTTGCTAAAAGGCCATGAAGTACTCTTTGCTACTATAGGAGTTAGGATCAACATTTCCTCCAAGCTGTGTAGCCACATGCCCACACAGCACTGCATTAGTGCTGCGCATCTGCAGCCAGTGCTGCCACCTATTTGGTTCCAGTTGTAGCTGGAAACCCACATGCACAGGGTGGGGCCTCTGCCCAGCATTGGTGGAAAATTGGAGAGAACACTGGTCAGGATGTAAGAAATACTTAAAATTTTTAAATGACTACAATCAACCCTTCATCAAAAAAGTTGGTTCTGCTGAATATTTGCTAAATAAATCTTTTACAGTACTGTATTTTTCAATCCTCATGAGAACAAAAACTAGCAAATTTATGCATCAGCACAAGACAAGACCAAAAAAACGGAGGTTTTCTATGCAAAAAAGGGAGTGTCTCTTGTGCAAAATGCAATGTGTTTATGCAAAAGCTCCCACTTTCCACAAAGGTGCCGAAATCAGAAAAATGCACAAAGCAGGAAGAAAACTATTTGAACTGTTCACTTTCACCTACAAGAACTTAGTGGGCAAAGATGTGCACCTCTAGGAAAGAGACAAGAAAGCTCCTTTAAATAAACATAATGGTTCTCTGGTCATCATAACCAGTAAGTACTATCAGCTCTAGGAGGTCTTTACACTGATCTACTTCTGTCTTTCACTAATACTCTATAGTGTTACAGATTTAAATGTTTCACAAATAAAAACAAAAAAATAACATTGATTTTACAAAGATTATCTGAATGGAAATTTTATCTGAAACCAATTACAGTGGTGCCTCACACAACGATGTTAATTGGTTCCAAAAAAATCAACGTTGTGTGAAACATCGTTCTGTGAAACACCATTTCCCATAGGAATGAATTGAAAACCGGTTAATCCGTTCCAATTGGAACAGATTGCTGTCTTTAAGTGAAAAAACCCATAGGAAACATCGTTGAGTGAAACAATGTTTCCTCCATTGGAATGTATTGAAGCCGACTCAATACATTTCAATGGCTTTGCAAAGTCCTTTTTCGCTCCTGTAAAAGTGCCTTACAGTGTTTGGAACAGGTTTTAAATGCTTGCAATCGTTAGCCCACCTCCTAAACCCTATGCAAACTTAATTTGGTGTTGTTCTGAGTCGTCCTTAATTTTTGGTGATTTTTTAAATTTTCTCTCATTGGAATGTATTGAACTTTGTATGTTCCTTTTCGCTCATTTTTAAAGGTCTTACAATGTTTCGCATGGAGGATTTTCGCTTTAAGGTGCGTTTTTTGCCCATAGGAACTCATTAAACGTGTTTTAATGCGTTCCTATGGGGGTTTTTGCCCCGCATAGTGACGAATCTGTATAGCGACAATTTTTTTCGGAACGGATTATTGTCGCTATGCGGGGCACCACATCTTTCTTTTTTTGAACAGGAAACTGGGCAGGGCTAAGTCTATGCTAGGCTACAAAGCCTTCTAGTTTAGGCCTTCCAGGTGAGCCACATTTAAGTGTCTGTAAGTCCATCAGACGGGAATATCAAAATGGAGAATTATGGGATATCTAATTAGCAACAACAACAATGAATGACCCATATCTATAAACTATATTTTAAATACATTAGTAAAAAGATAACCTGAACTATTATTTATTCATTTACTGTAAAGCAGAAATAGGATCAGAAAAAAAAGATCCAAATTAGAGTAGCTCATCTCTATTCTGGTGCCAATAACTGCTCAGTCTTGTGTCAACAGCTACTATGCATTATATAGTAGCTGTGCAAAAGCTGCCATATGCTGGCTGTGAATCAGGTGACACGTATACCAGCTCCTTCAGATACTGTACCCTAAAAGCAACTCCATCACCTTGGCACACATAAAACACTGTCTCAACAAGCAGTTCTGAAATAGCATATGTGAAGAAGCAAAATCACATAACAATAATTCTTCCCCATTTCACATATATGTTCTGTTGACTGTTGCACAAGCTTTTTCCTTACAACCTAAAACAAACAAGGAGGGGAGGGAACTAGACTTATGCAACAACTTTGTGGTGGACTAACAGGGATTTTATTTCTGATGTTTCAAGGTATGCTTGAAGTCTATTTTTAGCTAAAGAACAGAAATACCAAGCATGTGCCATTCTGTGACTACAAGAATGTTATCAGGAAGCAGCAGAATACAGTGGTGCCCCGCATAACGAGCAATTCATTTAACGACGAATCCGCATAGCGATGGCTTTTTTGCAATTGCAAAAGCAATCGCATTGCAATGTTTTATATGGCAAAACATCGCTTTGCGATGATCGGTAAGCATTTCGCGTACCGATTTTCGCATAGTGATGTTTTTTAAACAGCTGATCCGTGGTTCCAAAATGGCCGCCAGGTGATTAAAATGGCCGCCTGCAGTGTTTTCGCACCCTTTCCTCGCTTACCGGGCAGCGAAAATGGCGGCCGGTATGTTCCTTTTCGCTCATTTTTAAAGGTCTTACAATGTTTCGCATGGAGGATTTTCGCTTTAAGGTGCGTTTTTTGCCCATAGGAACTCATTAAACGTGTTTTAATGCGTTCCTATGGGGGTTTTTGCCCCGCATAGTGACGAATCTGTATAGCGACAATTTTTTTCGGAACGGATTATTGTCGCTATGCGGGGCACCACATCTTTCTTTTTTTGAACAGGAAACTGGGCAGGGCTAAGTCTATGCTAGGCTACAAAGCCTTCTAGTTTAGGCCTTCCAGGTGAGCCACATTTAAGTGTCTGTAAGTCCATCAGACGGGAATATCAAAATGGAGAATTATGGGATATCTAATTAGCAACAACAACAATGAATGACCCATATCTATAAACTATATTTTAAATACATTAGTAAAAAGATAACCTGAACTATTATTTATTCATTTACTGTAAAGCAGAAATAGGATCAGAAAAAAAAGATCCAAATTAGAGTAGCTCATCTCTATTCTGGTGCCAATAACTGCTCAGTCTTGTGTCAACAGCTACTATGCATTATATAGTAGCTGTGCAAAAGGTGCCATATGCTGGCTGTGAATCAGGTGACACGTATACCAGCTCCTTCAGATACTGTACCCTAAAAGCAACTCCATCACCTTGGCACACATAAAACACTGTCTCAACAAGCAGTTCTGAAATAGCATATGTGAAGAAGCAAAATCACATAACAATAATTCTTCCCCATTTCACATATATGTTCTGTTGACTGTTGCACAAGCTTTTTCCTTACAACCTAAAACAAACAAGGAGGGGAGGGAACTAGACTTATGCAACACCTAAAGGATTACTAATGTGAATTCAATTGAGAGGAACTGGCTAGCACCCAGAAGGAAGAAGTTGGATGAAGAATAAAACTAAGACCATTATCTTTAAGGTACCCGACATCTTCTGGTGCCTAAAATATACCTCACTTATTAGAAAGTGTGGAGCAATTTCTTAAACTGATGAAAAAAAAATCAGTCACTCGGTATCTGTTTCAAGTTCATAATTTGTAACATTCTTTCCCATCCCTTTTTTTCCGCTTCTCTTCTTAAAGGATAAGCATTTAGTGAACAAAAATAGTATGAATGAAACAGAACAAAATAATATGTCAAATAAACAGTCAAATATTTAGTTGCTTTCAAGGTGTTAATGTTTGTGTTATAGCTCAGTGTCAACTCTTGCATCATGTTTAAAATATTGAACTCCTGTTGCTTAGTTTAGTAAATGGTATTAGAGTAGGCTCACTAAATCAGAGAGGATTTGGTGAGTCATCTCCTTCATAATTTCCACTGGTTCAAATGGGCCTACTCTAGTTACAACTTACTTTAGCGTTGAAAACTGCAACTAGAGTAGGTCCATTTGAATCAATGGAATTATAGGAGTTGATTCACCAAATCCTCAAATTAGTAGGTCTACTCTAATGCAATTTTACTATGCTATGCAACAGGATTTCAGCCATAGAACGTTTGCCAAGAAAACATCACACGAGATAAATGAAGCATGCAAACAAGTTAGCAACAGACTGATGTACAACTTATGGGTGCTTAAGCTGTGTGACAAAAATTGCGGTGGAAGTGATTCAGCTGCAGTAAGCACCACACATGGACAATCTGAGTTCAAATAGTTGCCTGATATTATGTTATTTTTATCCTCTGTCGTCTTCTCCTCACTTTCCTGAGCTTCTAAATCCTCCTCAGGTGGATGGACCACTACTTTAGGGATATCATCACTAGAAGGAGACACTAGGAGTTCGGCACTCTGAAGTTCAGTTGACTGCATATCTGTGATTGCTGTGTGACTGCACTTAGGACTGGAAGGTGGGGTACTTTGTGGGGTAGGTACAGTGCTTGTGATTCTTGAGGCTGTTGGAGATCCAGGAAGAAGATGATTGAGAAGAAGGGACAAACGATTCTCTCCTCTCAGGGAAACATGTGAGGCAGAGAGACCTGCTCGTAAAGAGTGGCGGGAGGCTGAAAGGCCTTCCCCTGAGATAAAACAAATAAAGTGATGAATTTTCTTTAGCAGAAAGGTAAACTGCATATTATATTACAAAACATTTTACAAGCAAAATTCACTCATTCATAGGTGAGATAAGTAAATAACAAGAAAAAAGCAGAAGTTTAGATGTTAAAAAAGTCAGCATGTAATTTACCAGTTATCTACTGAATAAAGGAGAAAGAGCAAAATATTACAGTGTAATTTAAGCAAAGAATGAAAGCCTGCAACAAATGAATCTTTTAAACAGATAGTAAAAATATTAAGCATCTTTCTTAAGACAGTACCTGAAGTACAAAATATACAGTCATAAAAATTGACTATCAGTGTCTTTAGTATATGAACCTTTCTTCTTCGTCCCCAAAATAGAGTTCTAAATAGAGTTCACCATAGAATGATATGGAAGGAAAAGCGAGAACACAGTCTACAAAGACCTGTAAAGATATGGAACAGTTCACTGAAGAGTTGTCTGAGTCTGTATTAGCATCCTAGTGTCATGAAAACTAGCAAATTCAGACAGATGTAGATACCTGAAAAGCCCAAATGCAACAATCAGAATTAAAAATTCAGAAGATGAAAATATACAAATAAGACAGTGATTTAATTACATGGAATTACTTGGAAAATGATAATTTTTCAGAGCATCAGAAACTATGTAAAATAGAATCAAGCAAGTAAATATAAAACATATTTTCAGGATATGCCATTTCTCTGCTGTATTAAAGCAGAAACACTCCTATATGCACATCTCTCTTTGTGTACTTGTGTGTACACCACAAAAAGTGAAACCAAGGCAGATCTCTAGACTGTAAGTAGTATGGTTTTCCTCACCAAATTATCACTTACTGATTCTTCCTAAAAGATGAAAAAACCCTATATATGTATAGGGTTTACTGCAAATCTGAAGATAACGAGAAAGATCAAGAAAAAAGAGCAGAGACATTGTAAGATATGGCAGAATATGTATAGACTTGATTTCATATGCTATTTTTATTGAGTGATGGGATGTGACAAAATATGAAGAAAGTTAGACTGAGTCCTGTAGTGGAAGCACAACTCTTCAACACTTACAGTTCAAAGGACGTAGGAGAACCATACAGTACTTATAGCCAAAAACTTACACAATTCCTTATATACCAGAAAGGAATTTTGATCTTCCTTTCTTTGCTGACTTTTCTCACATCTCTGCATTATATCATTAAAAGTTGAAATGAACTGGATATCACAACTTATCTCACCATTTCTTTCAAGCAAGAGAGGGTCAGAATGTTTCTTGCCTATATCTGCAAAGGATCGGACAAGGGGAATCCGATTACTGAATTTCTTTTCATTCTGATGATGGTGCCTCTTCAGAAGTGCTTCTCTGACATTCTCTCTCATAGACTCATTCAGATGACCAGAAGCTATCATGTTATCCAATACCATATCTATAAACAGAAAAAGGAAACGTAATTTAATTCAATTCAATTTAAAACTCTAGTTATCTTCAGTCTTTAATAGAGCAGTTTAGCAGCTCTCATTTTAAAAGACAAATTCCTAAGAACATTGTTTCATAAACAATGACACTCTTATGGATCAATAAAGACTTAGCTACTTGTAAACAACACCTGAGTAAACCATAGGTAGGGTGCAGAAGTAAACCATAGGTAGGGTGCAGAACATGTTGCCCTTACCCTAATTTCATGCACTCCTGGTTCTTTGGATGATGTGGGCATATCTCTGGTCTTCAGATTGCCCACACAGGGGGAATATGTGTTTATGCAAAAAAGAAAGGGTGGCAGGTAAGGGATAGGAAGGCAAAGAGAGTGAAAGAGATATGCAGCCCTTCAATGTTGCAAACTCTACCAAACACCAGACCGGGCTCCACCCACCACCAGATATAGCTTGTGACTAACTATAGGCAAAGTAAATGGCCATTTAAAGGGGGGAAAGTTCTGTTCTGCAGCTGTTCATCAATGTATCCATAATCTCTAAATAACTATCATAATTATATAGAGACTCTAGCAATGCTCTTGAGACCCCAAGGAGGAACAAAAGATGCCCACCTTATGCAATTCTAGCACCAGACACCTGGTTGCCCCCTAATGTTGGAATAGAAGGATTCACCAGTGTCACTGCTTGCTCTTATAACCAGCACGGCAAAGAGATTATACCAACTAAAGAAATAACGAAAGCAAATACAACTAACATGCCCAGCTTCTATTAGCAAAACATACAAGTCAGAAGAACTCTACACTAAATATGTAAGGTAAAAGCTTAGTGAGTCAGAAGGCAATTTTAATAAAAACAGAAACTTAAATACTTAATTCGGTTTATCACGCTTTTTTCCTTGAATAAATAAAATATGTTTTACAGTAAGATGTGTGAGACCAATTTTTTTTTAAAATGTCAAACAAAATTTGCAATAACCTGCTATTTCATCTAGTGTATTGGCTCTCATATCCAACATGACTGTTCCATTTAAAATACAGCTTCTCAATTCAAACAGACTGTGGAGAGACAGGGTTGCTACATAAGGTTTGCTCCACCGCTCACCACCATCTTCAACATCTTCTTCAAACTTCAACCATCTGAAACAAATATGCAGAAATAATAGTTTTTTAATGTTAGTATTGCTGTTAACAAACTAGAGCCACCTCTTATCACATGCTATTTGATTTTTCATTACATCTCAAACCCCACTCTTGTTCATAAAGTAATTCTACAATGTGATTAGTAATTAGGCCTACTTAGCAGTAAGCTCTGTTTTAGCTGAATGGAAATAGATTACAAAACTGCAGCCTCATTGGTTAATTATCCAAAATGGCTGTGTGATCCAATTATAGAAATAAATTTTGGAGTTGGACAGCACCTTTATTGAATCACTAAAACTTACAAACACTATAAAGTTACAAAGTTAACTTGAAAGCTTGTCTTATTTGTATTTTAAATAAATAAACAAGGTATTTGTGATCCAATAAAAGTTCTGCTTGACCCCACACCTTTCATTTACTGAATGTAAACCATGCTTACTTTATTCTTCAGCCAAAAAAGGACTCCTAGTCGGTTCCAAAGACAGTCCCTCTCCACAGATTACACAGCATGTAGTTACAATCAATGCCTAAACTACCTTTATTTTGTATTCGCAAAGGCTTTCACGGCCAGGATCTAATGGTTGTTGTGGGTTTTTCAGGCTCTTTGGCCATGTTCTGAAGGTTGTTCTTGCTAACATTTCGCCAGTCTCTGTGGCCAGCATCAGCACAGAGTGCTCTCCTCTGAAGATGCCGGCCACAGAGACTGGAGAAACGTTAGGAAGAACAACCTTCAGAACACGGCCAAAGAGCCCAAAAAACCCACAAACAACCATTACCTTTATTTTGTCAGTTAACCCATTGGCTTTACATAAAAATCTATGCTTCTTATCAGCTGTAATTTCAGTACATATTGAGACCAAAGAAATGCACATAAGGTTACAGTCTTACAAATATCTCTACAGATATTGAGCCGTCTTAACATAAACCTGGTGGCCAAGTCTCTTCATGCTGTCATCATAAAGGAAAATAAACCATCAGTAAGTTACCTGGCAGTCTCCTTCCATTCATACTCCTCTCCCTCTCTAAAGCAAAGTTCATCCATTTCAGTGAACAAATCGTGGGGTATGTGTTCTTCATCATCATCCTCAGTACCCAGGATAAATTGCACCCTCTGGGATGGTGTGTCTTCATGAAAATTGAATTTGAGAGAATCATTTGTTAAAAGTTTTAAACCCTTACACATATCATCACACTGCTAATCACAGCATTGCAATTACTCATGCTATGGATGAAAGAAGACACAAAGAAAGGTATAGAAATAACACTACTACCTTCATGTAAAATGAATGGAAATCTCTGCCAGCAGTATAGTATCAGACATGAAATACATGAGACAAGGCATTCTGAGGGCAGAAAGGAGCCATTTGGAATCAGATGATCTAAACAATTTGAATTCTCCAGTCAAACACAATGTACACAAAACACTTGTGGCAGATCTGGAATTGGCACAAGTCTCCCTTATCAAGGCTACCAGTTTTGCGATTGCAAAAGCGATTGCATTGCGATATTTTAAATAGGAAAAATCACTTTGCGATGATCGGTTTGCTGTTTCGCTTACCGACTATCACATAGCGATGATTTTCCAACAGCTGATCGGCGGTTCCAAAATGGCCGCCAGGTAAAAATGGCCACCCGTTGTGTTTTCGCGCCGATTCCTCGCTTACCAGGCAGCGAAAATGGCCGCCGTATGGCTTAAAGGTGAGTTTTTTGGCCATAGGAACGCATTAAATGGGTTTTAATGCATTCCTATGGGCTTTTTATTTTCGCATAGTGGTGAAATCGCTTTGCAGCGATTTTTGCTGCACGGATTATCGTCGCTATGCGGGGCACCACTGTATGTGATTTTGTTTATACTCATGTGGCTTTACTCTTCCTGTTAGTTTGAGCTGCATTATCAAAGCCAAATGCTCAATTAAATTGAGAACATGCTTAATTAATTCCTTATAAATTTCAGATCCTTTCCTATATTTGTATATCTGCCATATATGTGCACTTATATACACAGAGAGCTATGTTCTGTAACATTATAGGCATTTCATTTCACTTTTAAAATTACTCTTACTTTTAAAATTAAAAAGAAATAATCATATTTCTTATATCTAACATCAAGCTAGCAGCCAAGAAAATGTTTCCATGAACCCATGTTTTAGAACAGCCACACTGTTTAGAACAGCCACACTATAATGAACCTTATAAAATGATGTGTAAAGAACTGCTTCCAGTCTGGCCACCCCTTCAAATATGCCAGAGAACCCCAGAGGGCTGTTTAAACAGTCATTGAGGATGGCTGTTTAAGAAGTCCCTGCCATTTCAAAAGATTTTTTTTAAGAAATTAGTTTGTCTGATACCTGGGCAGATATGATTTACATTAAGTAGCATGCAAATGTATAACATATACATTTGCATGATCTGTTCAGGTGGATCATTACAATGAAACAACATACAAAATAATCACTGTATATATACAGGCAACTGACATATGGAACTCAGAATCACCATCATTTTAATGGAATAGTCCCATAAAACTATTACAAAAGGAAGGTTTTTTAAATTTGACACTTAAAACCATGCACTAAAAACATTCTTACCATAGGATGGAGATTCTCGACCATCTTCTCTATCAGTTTCCTTTTCTTTTCTTCGTCTATGATGTTTATGTCCACGGTGCCTATGACGCCGTCGACCCTGCTTTCCAAAGGGGACATGCACACCAATATATACAGCTCTGTGACCTTAATCAGAAATGATACACAGCCTGTTAGAGATATAAAACCACTCCAGCTTCCCTACAGAAGATAAATCCAGCTACAAAGCAAATCACTGACTTGCAATTTGAGCTAGAATATTTGCTATACTCTCGTGATACACAGAATCAATATCATACTTTAAATTCACTATTTAATGAACATTGTAGAAATATTCTCTTTTCAAGTTTTTCAAACCCTGATCTGACACACCGTAATTGTATCATCTCTTCACAATCAGCATAACAAGCATCAGTCCACACTGATTTAGAAAACCTAAGCCCCTTTCGAAGCAAGTAAATTTGAACCATTTCTCAGCTAAGAAAGTTAATATGCTGGCTAATTTTAAGGAGCCCTGTTTCAACTTCCCTGAACATTTTTTTCCAGATGAATTCTACTGATAAATCTAAATGGAAAGAGAAAAGTTTCTCTTTCTGTTTTCCTAGTTACAGCTACAGAGTTTTAAAACTGAAAAAGCAACTACAGAAGAGATGTGAACTGCCCAGGCTATGCATATTGGATAGAATGACAACAGCCGTATTATGGGCATAACACTCAAAAAGAATGGAGGAAGGAGGGCATATAATACCCAGTGTATCACACATGCTTATAGTCATTTCTGTAGGTGATTTAGTAACCTTTTGGAAGTTACTAAACAAGCAACCTCCAAAAATCCAATCATCTAAAGTGGTACTCTGCTCTCGCAAACTCAAGGCCATGGCTTCCATTACTGAGTCAATCCATCTCTTATTTGGCCCTCTTTTTTCCCTATTGCATCCAATTTTTCCCAGCATTACTATATTTTGCAATGAGCCTCATCATGATTTGCCTGAAGTATGATAGCCACAGTTGCTTCATGTTTGCTTCTAGGGAGAATTCCAGTTTAATTTGGTTTTCACTTATTTGTCTTTCTGACAGTTTCTGGTATCTATAAAGCTCCTCTGTTGTTATATGCCCTCAAGTCATAACTGACTTATAGCAGTCCTAAACAGCTTTCAAGGTAAGTAAGATATCTGAGGTGCCATGGCTGAATGGGGACTTGAACTCCCCCCTAGCCCTAGTACATCACTCTATCCACTATGTATCCCAAAGCTCTTTTACAATACATATAATATTAATGATTTTTCTTCCTGCCAGCTTTCTTCACAAAGTCCATCTTTCACATCCAGATACAGTAATCAAGAATGTCATCATGTTAGGTTATTTTCACCTTCATTCCAGTGACACACTTTTGCACAAGATCTTATCTAGTTAGCCACCCTTCCAAGCCTCACTCTTCTGATTTCTTGGTTGCAATCTCCATTTGGATTGATTACTGAAAACAAAGGATACAGTGGGGTCTCCACTTAAGAACGTCTCTACTTAAGAACAATCCAACTTAAGAACAGCTCCATTTGCTAAATTTTGCTTCTACTTGAGAACAGAAATCCAAGATAAGAACAGGAAAAAAAACCTTTCCTGTTCTTTTTTTAACCTTAGGTCATCTTAGGTTAAAAAAAATTCTCCCCCTAGTGGTAGAGTACGTATTAACCAGCTTTGCATTCGTTCCTATGGGAACTAATGCTTCAATGTACGAACACACCTCTACATAACAAAAAAACAGCCAGAACAGATTAATTGGTTTTCAGTCCATTCCTATGGGAAATTTTGCTTCAACTTAACGTTTCAACTTAAGAACACCATTCCAAAATGGATTAAGTTCTTAAGTAGAGGTTCCACTGTAGTTTCTATGGACGGAAAAGAGCAGATACGGATTAAATAGTTTTCAATACGTTCCTATGGGAAATGCAGATTCAACATAAGAACTTTTCAGCTTGAGAACCACCTTCCAATATGGATTAAGTTCTTAAGTAGAGACCCCACTGTATTGTTTTAGCACTAGCTGTGAGTTGTAGGTTTTCTTGGGAGGTATACTCTTAATACCCATTAAATTCTATATAGAGTTCCTCTACAACAAGGCAACTTCCTTGTTTTTGAAAAAACGAAAGAGGCTACAGTAGGCAACAACAGAGCTGATCTGAAGACTTGTGTTTCTGGGTTGCTCCTCTTACCTGCAGAATTCTTGGAAAATTCTGAGATTTGAAGACTAGAAGCCCTTTCCCTAAGTAATACTTATATGAGAACTGAAATACACTCTTGATATATGGCCTACTGCTGGATTATATTACCACTGAAGCAGAAGATGGCATTCATTACTGAAGAAGTTGTAGTTTTACAAGATAGCTGTATTTGTCTGTGCAAGCATGTGAGACAAAATCCAAAGAAACAACACAAAACAAGACAAGACAAAAATGTGTGGCACCTTAAAGACTATTATATTTTAATGTGAGCTTTCTCAGATCATGTCCAGTTCTTGAGACATATGAAATAAAATGAAATACAGAATGAAATACAGAATTCACAAGCAAAACATTCAAGACATTCATTGGCTTTGAGAGTCTTGGATGTGTGGTTACATCTCACGTACAGTAATTTATGGCCTATGTGTTTGACTGATACCTACTGCTCACAGTTGATTTCCACAATACCACCAATCTGCCTTCTCTGTTTTGCTCTTGCCTGGTTATCCACTTTGTTTCCTGTGGGAATGTTTACAATGTAACTTAACACCAAACATAGGGCATATATTACTGCATGTGAGATGCAACCACACACCCAAGACTCTTAAAAGCAATGAATGTCTTGAGTGTTTTACTTGTCAATTCTGTATTTCATTCTGTATTTCATTTTTTCCCCATACGTCTGAAGCAGATATGATCCATGAAAGCTCACATTAAAATATAATAGTCTTTAAGGTGCCACATGTTGTTGTCTTTTTGGTCTTTGTTTGTTTGTTTGTTTAGATTTTGCCTGATATTACTGAAGACAACTCTTGTGTCAAAATTTGTCTGGAATCTTAACTCTGTGGACAAAGACTTTCAAGACACAAATTGCTGAAGGTTTCTTGATTTGTGTATTCTGTTCCAAATCTCTTCATGCTTTAGTTGACCATATTACAGGCAATCACTTTCAAATACTTTCATTTTCAGTTCAAGATATTTGTTACTTCTTCAGTATGTTAATTCCTCTATTCTCAGTAATATAGGATTTTGTTGTGGTTGGTTAAAATTGGCACTGATTTTTCACCTTTTCTGTATGTACCCACTAGAATGTACTGAAATGTAACTTGCTTTGTGAAAAGATTAAACCTACAGTGGGGTCTTGACTTGAGAACTTAATCCGTATTGGAAGGCGGTTCTCAAGTCAAAAAGTTCTCAAGTCAAATCTGCATTTCCCGTAGGAATGCATTGAAAACCATTTGATCCGTATCTGCTCTTTTCTGTCCATAGAAACTAATGGGAAGCTGCTATTCCGCCTTCGACCACTAGAGGGGGATATTTTGTTTCTCTTTTTTCTTAGGTCAAGAAAGGTTCAGGGAAGGCAGGGAAAATACAGTCCAGGCAGTACAGTACCAGGCAGTCTGAAGACTGTCTCCCAATCCACTCTCTAAACGCTGGGAGGAGTGAGGAAGCAGACAGGCACCCTTTTCACTGGCCAACAGTTAACCGAAAGTCCACATTTTGCACTTTCCCTGCCTCCCACGTGGTTTTTTTTCAGTTCTTAACTCAAATCTAAGTACTTAAGTCAATATTTTCCTATGAGAGCGGTTCTTAAGTCAAAATGTTCTTAACTCAAGTCATTCTTAAGTCAAGACCCCACTGTATTCTTTAATATATAATGTTCTTGACTAGTATATGAAAAATCCCAAGTGTCCTATTTATAATCCAAAGATTATAACTAGAGATGGAAGTATTTATATTCATATATGAATATCCCCACACAGGTGGCGTTAACGAGGGTCCACTCACTGATCCTCTGCGGACGGCGCAATTCTACAAATGTCTCTGCAGCACACAATCCACTCGCCATTCCTGGCAGGAGGACCTCGCTGCAAGGTCAAAGACTGGCGAGTGGATCGTGCACTGCAGAGCCATTTACAGACTCACACTGTTCAGGGCCATGGTGGATTGGTGAGTGGACCATCCGGCCCCATGGGGCAGGATCCTTGTTAATGCCACCTGTGCAGGGATATTCGTATACAAATACCCCCAGCTCTAGTTATAACTAAATTCACTGGGTATGTATCTGAAGAGGAAGGAATTGTAGTTCACAAAAGCTGATATGATTTTTTTTGCATTGTAGCTAGCATAATATGTATGGGTTTTTTTGCCCAAATTCATAAATGACCTTCCAAAACCTCATTTGCATACTGGCTGTACCATAAAGATCTCAAACAAAGCTTGTTACGGATTTAGCTTAAATTAAAACACGACAGCATTAATAGAATGCAGGACACTAAGTTTAGCACACACTGCTCCAGAGATACTTGTTTGGTTTAATCAGACATGACTTTATCTGAGCTTAGTTGACAAAATCCGTAAATGGTATTTAGGAGTTAAGGTCATTAGCAGTGTCAGCTTAAAATTTCTTTAAAAGATGTTCACAACTTAATTCTGTTCACTATATTGCTATTCAAATTACCCACCATACAATCTTCTGGCTTAGCAACTTTCAAAACTTAAAGAATGCATTATAAGGCTACTCTCCATCCATTGGTTGCTTAATTAAATCATTAAGAAAACTTATCTTGTTAATTTTCAATCCAATAATTTTTCTATCATTACTGATTTTCAATTTTAACTCTATGCATTTACAATTTTAAAAAATTGGGGAAAATTCCAATATAAGCAATAGATTCTCTCATATATTTTGTAACATAAAAACCATTTTGTATAAACATTTTGTTTCCTACATCTCTAGCTCCTGTGGTAACTCAGCATTTATGTGACATCATTATTCAAAAATGTCTTGTTTTTCTTTTACAAACTAATTTATCAGTAATTTAGCAGGAAACTGTTGTGTTTCTAAAGTTAGGGCTGCAGCATGGCAATATCTCACAGGTGTTCAAGCATTTCTTCTAATCATGACAACATATTATACACCAAGATAAATGGGAACACATTTTACTTTCAGTAGTAAAACTCCATGCTTAAATCTGTGATACCACTATAAGATGATAGTTTAAAGCATAATATATTTAAAAATATTATATACAAAAACAATTTAAATCTCACAAAGAAACAAGCATATTTTAACTGCTGCTGTTAAATATACCATGGAACTATGCCATGTAAAACCAGAATGTACAAGCCATCATTTTCAAGGACACACTAACAGCCAGGTTTTGTAACATAAGCAAGTGCTGGAGTCCCTGTTCACTTTACAAAATAGCATTACTGTCTTCCTTCCAGTTGTAATCTTTTAGGGCTTTGATAAAAGTGTTTTAAGTACTATGCTCCTATTTTCAAGAGGAAAAATGTCATTTTGAATGACTATACTGCACAGCGCAGGCTGCTGGATTTGTTCCTCCTGTTATGATATGCTCCATTTCATGTTGTTCTTTATTTAAATCAATTTTCCACAACTAACTGTACAAAACTAGAAGAAGGCAAGGAGAATGCACAACTAAGTCTATCTGTAAAACTGTAACAACTTATTTCTGAGTACAGTACTTAGCTTATCAAAACACACACTGCAAGTTCGTGTGGGCCACCAGGTTAAAGGCTCACAATTTGCTTCCACACATTCTCCTTCACAATTGCCTTCTTTGAGTTCTTATATGGACCACAAAAGAGTAATTCTGTCCCTTCTAGGCATCCAATGCTGCAAATATAATAAAACAGCAAAGCACTCAAAAACTTGTCTTATTTGTGAAAGTTTACATCTCCTGCAGGATTTATGTTATACACTGCAAGACCTGAGGGTTAAGGCCACTTGCTGTAGACAGACCAACAACTGTTACAATACTCTGTTCAGCTTCACTTTGTACCTTCAAACTCTACTTCTACTTTTAAATGGAATTCAAGAACTACTGTCCCCCTCCTGCCCTATCATAAAGATTCTGCAGCAAACTCCCTTCTCTTAAGAAGAACTGGCTGTAACAAGAACACCAAAACAGATTCAGACTAGTTGAATCACAAGACCAACATTATTTTACTCCATTTGGGTACCTTTCCCACCAAGAAACAGACCAAAGGGCCACGGAATGTCTCCCATGTTTTGACAAACATGGTAAAAAAACAAGTTACTTACACTCCAAAACACACACACACACACACTAAAATAAGTGTGAGCCATTGTCTTATATATTACCTAGCATTCCTCCCATTGTAAAGCAATACATTTCCCAGAAGGTCCTCAAGGTTTGAGTGAGGCCTCATTTCCACATGGGAGAAATCCCAGGCAAAAGTAGCAAGGGATGGTTTTCTTGTACTATTTTCACTCTATTTCCAAGCAGTTCTGCAAATGAGAAACTGAAGATTTGTCCAGTATCTTGTTTTGGCATTCATTGTTGGGCCTGTGCATGTCACAGGCTTCTGAAGATAAACTCAACTCTGGCCCTGCACACCATATTTCATTTTTCACAAGCCTATTTTTATCCAGTATTTTCCAGATATTTAGCAGGTATAGAAGATAGCATAAACCCATAGTCAGCCAAACATTTTAACTCTACAAGTACAACAGAAGTACAATGATACAGACAATTTCTTTCATCTTTTTGAACTCCAACCTGGGGCTCATTTTGATTCTCTGTCCTGAATACACTCCATAGATCCTTGTGGGGAGGGGAGCTACACCAGATTAAGCAGCCCTGACTTCCTCTCAGATGAGGAGAGCTGGGTTGGAAGCTGCAGAGGTGGTGAGGAAATGGATTGTTCTTGATTCATGCTGAGTTTGGGGAACAAAATCTTCCTTGCAGAGGGATCACATCATTCTGACTAGCTACAAGAACCAGCAATATATAGCAATTGTTATAACATAATACAATGTAGCTTATTAACAGTGAATGAAATTCTGGACATTACAGCAAACGACATAGGAGCAACCATGCAATTCCAGGGCAAGACAGCAAGCATAACTTTTGAGAACTGTAATTCATTTCACTTTTTTACACTTCCAAAATTAATATCAATAAGAAAGAATATACACTTACTTTCTAGTTCTTCTTTCTCAAAATTTGTGTTGATAGTAGAGCTAATTTTACCCATGTCAACAACAGCTTCTTCATCATGGCCCTAGATAAATATGAAGAGTTTGGATTTCATAACTATAATACACAACTGATAGTTCCTATCAACATTCATTTTCTGACATGAGCAGTTTGGTACAGAATGGATATACTTTTCAATATTTAATGGATCAATGCAGCTTTTTGTCACATGCTTAATTTAACCCATACTAATGGTAATAAAAGCTTCACGCACTGAAAGCCTAGTTAGATCTTCTTGTTCTCAAACTTATAAAAAGGTACAATTTAAAATAAAGGCAGAAGAAGGTTTACTAGGTACCTGAAATCTAGTTTGAGCTATATACCTCTTGTTAATATGCAGAATGCTTGTAATTACACAGCCAGTGTGATATAGTGGTTAAATTGATGTAGTAGTATTGGAGAAACTCATGATCAAATCAGCACTTCGCTATGAAGATCCAATCTAACCTAACTCATACAGTTGTTGCAATGAAAAAATGGAGAGGAGGAACATTTACTGTAAGCTTTTTAGAGAAAGGTGGGAGATATAAGTGCAACACACTGATAGAGAATTCTCTCATTTACTGTCAGAAAACTTTGTACAATACAATTTTAATCCATTTTCTCTTTTTCCAAATGAACAACCACTCACAAATCATACATTGGCCACTTATACCATGTAAAATTAGATGTACAGTACACAATACTGTTAACAAGTGAAATACTGCAATTATAAGGAATCTATGCAGTAGCCACAAAAGGATAGAAACCCTTAAGATTTAAACTTAAATCTTTCTTAAATAAGGACGCTGCACAAATTTACACCTATTTGATGTTAAAAAATACCACATACAAGGAACAAAGATAACAATGGTATATGATTTCAGATGAAACTGCAAGAAATTGGCCAGAATTCTATTGGTGAAAATATGTGCATTAGTGAAATGACATAAACTGTAGCACTGAGTTGATATTAACTAATGAGGTGTTCACTGCACTCCTGGTCATGCAATGAACACACACCCCGGACAACAACTGACATCTCATTGATTAGTGCCAACTTGCTGTTGCCACACACACAATTTTACTTACAAATACATTAACTGCAAATAACATTCTGGTCATTGTTTATTTAAAACCATAAAGTTGCACAAGTGAGAAAGCATGACAGCAACGTTCCTGCTAATTCTTCAGAGCTCTGCATGGAGGCTCCATCCCTGTGTGTGGAGTTCCAGCGACAAATGGAAGCAAATGAGCAGATACATTCACTCAGCAGCACACCCGGTGGAGCAGCATACATCCACGTGGCTTAGAGGGAACATTGCATGGGAGAGAAAACTGCAATCACAATGCAAAAAGAAAAAGAAAGAAAAAAGGGCCCCTTCCCAACAGCAAACTTGGGAGGAAATTGCCTTTTTCAATAAATGTATCATTCAGAGATAAGCCAAAGAACTGATGGAAGATTAAGATCTATAGCATAATAATGTCAAATCATGATTGTTATCGCTAGAAAAAGCATGGTTAGGACAGATGCACTGCAACCACACCTACACAACATCTCGAAAGCATGGCTAAAAAAACTAAAAATTGAGCTCCTCATGCTTCCTGGAAAGAAAATAGTTTCTTATATTTATACGGTTGGTCAAAGCACACATATCGCAAGGTCATTTTCAGGAAACATCACACCCTTTGGTGTAGTTTCACACTGTTCACACTAGCTGGTAGAATAAAACAAGAGTCCCATTTTAATAGTCTGCCATGTCCAACAAGTGTTTAGCTCCAAGTCTTTGAAATAAGAATGACTGAGCCTCTCACTGAACATGACAAGAGAAAGCAGTGTCCTTCTAAGGAAATATTTAAAACAGGATCTCAAAACAAGCTTTTCATTTAGATCTTCATCAGCTTCTTCATGATAATCATGTGTTCTTTTCTCTTTATAAAAACCTAAAGTGAATTGGCAATAAAGCAGCATTGCAAAGAACTATGAATTTTGACAGTAATGTCAAAAGAAGCACATAAGATTGACCAGTAACCAGAGTGTATTTGATTTAAATCAAATTGATTTTAAAGAATCACTGATTTTTATCTACCCTGCCAGCATACAAAATTACTATATCAAGTTTCAGCTTAGCCAAAAAACACATTGCTTTATATGAGGACACTGCATTAGCGGAACCCAATTTCCTCTCTCCATTGCACTGTTCCTGATGCACCCAGTATTCTGACTATCCCACTTGAACATCCAAGTGTGTCATATGTGTGAGAAGAGGCCTTATACACTACACCCAACATGCAAGGAACTCCAGGAAGGAACATGATTAGTACAAGATCCACCCTCCTATAAAGGCCCTTTATAAATATCAATGTTTGTACATAGATGGTGACCAAATGTGCAATCCCTCATGAATTCTTTGTGTATATGAGAGAAAACATTCCTAACAGCCTTGCTATTATATACTATAATATACAGTGGTGCCTCGCTTAGCGATCGCTCCGTTGAGCGATGAAATCACTTAGCGATGGGGTTTTGGCCATCGCCAGAGCGATCGCTTAGCGATGGCCCCTATGGGGGAAATCGCTTTACGATGATCGCGGGGAAGTGATCACAGCAAAACCCCCATTTTCAGCCAGCTGATCGGCGGTTCCAAAATGGCCGCCTGCTGTGTTGTCTCGCTTTAGAGGCACCGAAAATGGCTGCCGCAATGGAGGATCTTCGCATAAGGTTAGTTTTAAAGCCCATAGGAACGCATTAAACAAGTTTTAATGTGTTTCTATGGGCTTTTAAAAATTGCTTAGCGATTAAATCGCTTAGCGACGGTTTTTCCAGAACGGATTAACATCGCTAAGCAAGGCACCACTGTAATACTAGCCTATCTTAAGGGGTTGTCCTAGGGAGGTTATTTAGATAATGTACGCACAATGTGTCTGACATCCAAAGAAAAGTGCTCTACTAACACAAGATTCCTGTTACATTTACTCAGCATTAAAATTGAGCAGAAGACAGATCTATTTAGACCACTCCCCCACCTCCCCTCTCTAGGTCAGGTCAGGAGTAGATAAAGACAAATCAATTTAACAGTAGGAAATGTTCTAATTCAGGCATTGCTAATTCAGAAGTTTTTGGAAATTGTATATCGCAAGATATGTGATCACATTTCAGCTTGTACAGTGTACTTTTTTCCGTATTTGCCCAGGAAGTATATCTTGGTATACCTCTGCTCTTGCAAGATAAAAAAGAAACATAGAGCACTATGAAAGCACACAGTTTTCCCTTCCATAATCAAAATGTGAAAGGAACAAACTCGTTTTTCTATGTTACATAGCACCTTCTCCTTCTCTCCCAACCTCCAAATCTGGAGATCAAAAAGGGAGCAAAGAGCCACTTATAGACCTTTCCCTGAATGATGTTACAAAGTGCAAAATAACTGACACCAATTTATGGAAAGCAATGGTACTAACAAGAACAAACATGTGATTGGCAACATTTGTTGATTCATGGATACAACAGCAATTCCATCTAAAATTAAACTCGCAACTTTTTCCCAGCAGCTTCATATTTCTTATTAGAATAAAAATAAGGAAAGGGGAGAACAGTAGGATTCCCATCCATGGGATTGGTACCCACAGTTTCACTTATTTGAAAATATTAAAAATATTAAAAGAAAAAAACAGAAATACATACTTTCACTACAAATTCTAAATATAAATGCATATTTATTGGTTTAGCACTGCTTCCATTTCCTTCCTCCTTCACTACACCTCCTCCAACATATTTCAGATTGTATGCTCCTCAGAGCAAGAACTTATTCTCATACAGTAGTTTGTGAAACGGTGCAAGTTTGCTGTGGAAAAAAAGAAAGCACCTCATTTCTAGGGTAGGTGGCTATATCTATGCAAGCAGCACAAGCCATCTAGAAGCACCTACAACATCTAGAATAAAAGTATGGATCACCTTGTCTCTACTGGAGCTGTAAGAACCGTGCCAGAATGAAAAAAAAGCATGAAGGAAATCATATAAAAGACTGATTATAATTTCTAAAATCTGGTACTTTAGGGACCAGTTGCTAGCAACTGTTACTAGCTGTTTTTGTAAATATATCACTGCAGAAATACTTGACATCTTTATCTTCAAGCTGTATACTATTGATAAAAAATATTAATGGAGCAACGGCTGATACTGACTGCATTATAGACAAAGTGATTTCTGATGTAATGTTTGTAATTAATGAAATGTTTGGATTGTTGTTACACTAATGATATATTATTGCAAACTGTAAAGCACACTGCTTGGAAAACATGTATATAAATTAAAAATAATTATGGTGGAATGTGTTCTATGTTAACAAACACAAAGGGTTGTAAGGCTATGAAAACTGATATCAGATCTGTGTCAGGCTTAACCATACACAGTTGCACTGCTCCTTGTTTGCAAGGGAGCAGACAAGCCAGAAAGCCATCAATAGCAATAGCTACAAAGTTGGCTTCTGTATCCTGTTTTTTACACAAAGGAAGCAGTGATACAGCCAGTCACTTCTCTCCTGAAAGTGAATTAAGTTTCTGAAGAAAAAGTTGTTCATCCAGATATAGCCATAGTGTTCTCAGGCAATCTCCCATCAGGAAAGATCTGCTCAACTTCAACGAAGTCAAGGAACATGTCATCATGCTAAAACCAAGGATATAGTAACAGAGTTCAGTGGTGCCTCTCTAGACGATGATAATCCGTCCCACTGAAATTGCTATTTAGCGAAAGTATTGTCTAGCAAAAAGCATTTCCCCATTGGAATGCATTGAAACCTGTTTAATGCGTTCCAATGGGGAAGAATCGTCGTTGTCTAGCGAAGATCGGCCATAAGAAAGCCGCTTTGCGAACCGCCGATCAGCTGTTTAAATTGCTGTCTTGCGAAGCTTAGGTCCCGAAAACACCTGTTTTGTGAGTGCAGAGGGAGCTGTCAAAATCGTCGTCTAGCAAAAATCGGTTTGCAAAGCAGGGACCAAACATTGTCCAGCGAAATTCCCCCATAAGAATAACTGTTTTGCAAATCACTA